AAGATGGAGACTCTCACCACCCCCCTGGGAATCACTTAGGGGGTGAGTCTCTCTCATGAAAAAGGCAGCGACCTGCGAAGAAGTCACCATTTTGGAGTTTTCAAGGCCCAAAACCTTCAAAATGGAGACTCCCACCACCCTTGTTGGGAATTATCTCATCGGAGGGCTCTCTCACTGAAACGGCAGCAACCTGCGAGGGAGTCACCGTTTTGGAGTTTTCGAGGCCCAAAAGTTTCAAAATGGAGACTCCCACCACAATCTCCCGGGAATTACCTTGTTTGGGGGGGACTCTTTCATTAAAAAGGCAGCAACCCGCCAGGGAGTCACTACTACGGACTATTTCAAATCAGGGCCTTATTAGGGACTGTTCCAAACTAGAGCCTTATCAGGGACCATTCCAAATTGGAGAAACTATTCCAAATTAGGGCCTTATCAGGGACTACTTCAAATTAGGGCCTTATTATGAGGTACTATTTCAAATTAGGGCTTTAGTAAGGACTATTCCAAAATAGGGTCTCCTTAAGAACTATTCCAAAATAGGGCCTGAGCAGGACTATTCCCAATTAGGGCCTTATTACGGGCAGACTTCAGAACTTGGAAGTCTGTCAAGCACGTATTAGGGGGGGTTTAGTATTCGTGTGAAATCATTATACCGACTCAATTCTGCGGCTGCCACCAGGTGCTGAATTGACGTCAAGTCAGCCAGTATGGTAAAACTTCACAAACAGCGAGCAGCTATAAGATTTGCGTTCATCACGCGCGTTTGTAGCCCTGCTTGTCGTGGTACTTGCGTTCCTTTTTTTGTTTCCTTTTTCTTCATTCTTATTATGGTTATACACCTGCCTCGTAGAAAAGATCATGTTTGCCATAAGGAAGGGTAAGGGAGGATTATGCGGATTATTAACATTGTCAATAATGCGTCTTCTGATTTTATCACTACTGCTATGATTACTTCGATTGCTATGACAAGAAGGATTATCTTCTCTCATCTTTATTCCAATAATCACTAGAATCTATTGAGCTGTCGCAGGAGTATCCTAATAGAGTGAGCTTTCTCGCGTGGAGCATGTCACATTTTGACATGAAGTTGAGCTCCCACGCAGAGCGTCCTCAAATTTGGGCTCAAAATTGAGTTCTTGCATGGAGTTTTATTACATTTGGACACCAAATTGAGCTCCCACGTAGAGCGTCCTCAAATTTCGGCTCAAAAATTGAGCTCTTGCGTGGAGGGGCCTCACATTTTGGTCTACAGAATGCCCAGGACCGTCCAAAATCAAAAGCAATATCACAAAAAACGAAAACTACCTGAATTTATTTTTCACTCGCTTGCTATCCTGAAAGACCTGAGAGACGCCATGAGTGCTTGCTGTGCGCCAGGGACCTAAAGCCAGAGAACCTGCTTCTCAATGAGAAGGGGCATCTCAAGGCGGTTTCGTGATCTCTTTGCTCTGCAAAGCCGGCCTGGCAATAGCAACACAGCAGCGCATGATGGCGACAGGTCACTGATATGGGTTTGGCCAAGTTCGTCATCGGAAAGGCCGGTTACATTCTGTTTGTCATCCAAGTATGCCGACTGAATTTGGCCAATGCTTCAGACCTACACAACCTGTGGAACCCCGGACTATTTTGCGCCGGAGGTCATTGCCTCGTAACTCGGCTCAAGCAACCATAGTTGCGTTGCTCCATACTTGACGCTGAGAAATGCGTGCGCATGTCCGGTTTGCATTCTGTCTACTTCTATTTTCAGAAGCATGTGGTAGATGTTGAAGGTTGCGGGCAGGTGGCCTGTTTCATGCTCAATGCCATCGTTGGGCCCGGCTGATTGCAATAGCTGAGGACCGGACATACCCATGCCGTGGATTGGTGGATGCTTGGGGTGCTGATCTTCGAATTCATGCGTCCCGCTCAGACATTGCTGGTTGGATCATCGACGCTGTCCACACATAATACTTTGAGTCAGGACGGGGTCAGCTCCCTTCGAAGCGCGCGGACCTCACTTGGCAGAGCATGTGACCACCGTTGGTTCTGTGGGTAGCATTCCCCACCCCTGATCATTGCAAGGCCGTACCCCATGCAGATCTATGCAAAGGTCCTGCCATGCACTCAGACTTGCACGGTGTTGCTCTTTGCAGGCACATTTGAAGTCTCTGCAACAACCAAGGAAGGGTATCAATTCCGTGAAGTTCCCTCCGCAGCTGTCGCCTCAATGTGTAGATCTCATCAAGGCGGGCTTTTGAGCTGGATTGTCCATTGCTGTTAACCATTCAAGTCATTTTTCACCGTTCCCTACACCAGGCAATCTGTCAGAAGGAGCCAGCAGACAGATTACCGATGCTGCCTGGTGGCGCTAAGAACTTGAAGGTGGGGCAGACAGACAGCAAGTCACGGCTTTTACCGTGGTTGAGCATTTTGCCCCTTCTTTGGATCTAATTCGGACTTTCATGCTCGACTGCCAGGCACATGCCTGGTACAAAGGCTTCAATTGGGCTTGGGTCTTGATTGATCATCTGTGGACAGTGCATCATCTAGTATTCTGCGGTGCTGAGCAAGCAGTCGCGCTGCAGAGAGTTGTTTGTTGTAGATAAGGATAAGTTCGTGGAGTTTACGCTGGATCCTCCGTTCGCACCGAAGGTGAGAGGCAAGAAGGCCAGCAAGAGGGAAAAGAGTGTTGAGTAGCTGCACTCCATATTCTGGACCAGGATTTGGCAAACTTCAGCGTCCATCCCGATGAAATGCCCTCCACTTACAGAAGGGCTGCACCTTGGTTCAAGAAGACTAGCGCCTTGCATGCTCAGGCCGCGTTTCATCGAGTACGTGGATGATGGAAGTGGGTGGGATAAGGTCAGCAGCTGCTGCACATGCTCAATACAGCTCTGGCGACTCTAGCTCGGACTGGGGGCTAGCGAGGACTTCGCAACGTGCTGAGGGGCCACTTTGCGGAGGCTTCGGCGCATGCCCGAGAAGATTGGAGTCTGTAAAGGCAGCATCTAAATCTAGATCCCTGAGGCACGGCACGCCCTTGGAAGTTTGGCAAGAGCGATTGGTGACGCCGGCCAGTGGAGTTTCACCCAATTGGCAATATTCATAGTTATCCCGAGCTTGAATGCTTGCCCTAACTTAGTAACTTAAACTTGCAGAAATGCACAATCAGCCTGGACTGCAGCGTCTGCGGCCATGCTCCACGTAGCATATTTACGCTCGGTTTTACCAGTTCGGGCAAGTGCTTCAAATTAGGAAGAAGTCTAGCGACTTGATACGTGCCGGTGTCTCACTTGGACTGATTGTTCAAAGATAGATGCGCCAATGGCTTGGATCAATCTTGGACAAGTCTTCTTTAATGTTCGTTTGTCAGGCAGCACTGCAGAATTTGCAGCCGAGCGCCTGCAAACGAGCGTTTGCAACGTGGTCTTGGGAATTCCAAGCCTTGGTTCTCAGAGCAGCAGCAAGCAGCACCAAGACAACTAGCTTTGTTTTGCTCAGAAAAATCAGAAGCTGATCTACATCATAGTCACAGGATGAAGTCTGATTATTTCAGCAAGAGGCCACGGTGTTCCATGCAGTGGCAGCATCAACTGGGTGCCTTTCGGCACTTCTTCTAATGCTGCAGTACGTCAAACTAGGCCAGCTCAGAAAGAAGTTCGCCATGGTGCTTCAAAGGCAGTTCTGCCACCAAAGCCAACCCCAACTGAGCTTGCGAACATCTTTCAGCTGGCATGAACCACTAACCTCCTTTGCAGAGGTTCCCGCAAAGATTGCACAAACGTGTCGCGGGCTCTGTAAACGGATATGTCCCTACTTCCTTCGACTACAGAGCATAGATGAGTCACACTAGACGTATCAGAACCAACTTGTGCTTGTAAAAATCAGAGTGTCTCGGGCTTTACAGGCTGCTGAAGGGCGCCATTTCAGACTTTGCGATCTCGTGGCAGAATGCCAGCACACGATGAACATGCGTAGCTGGAGGGCTAGGCTTCAGCGCATGTGACAACCCACATCACTGTTCTGCGCTCGTATCTTTCAAAAGTCGCGTTGGTTTCTGTGCATTTCTCATTTATTGTCAATTTGTGCGGCAAGCGATGGTCAGCTCAGCAGTGTAGCCACTTCCTGCTGCTGCATTTGCTAGCTGTCCAAGCGCTTTGCTCATGCCTGCAGGCATCACATGCGGTTTGTGAAGTCCGACTCAAGTCTAGCAAAGGTGTTAGGTGTGCATGCAAGATCTGAGCAGGAAGTCAGGAACCAAGAAAGTCTACAGAATCAGAAACTGAAGACATGCAGATTCCGGTGCTGCTGATTGAATAGTTAGGCTTGCCGGGTATGGATCAGAATTGGCAATCCCAAGCAGCTGCCGAGGCCCAGGCAGTCTCGGTCAGTCCAGCACAAATGTGGCAGAGGGGTCGCTTGTGACTTCTCACGAAATGCAGAACTATTATCGTTTTTGAACGATGCTTCTACTCTCCACGGTTGCGCGCGAGTGTCCCTCATAAACCTACCGGGGCTCTGCACCCCACCCCAACCAATCTAAACTTAACCAACAAAACCTTCAACCATTAAACACATCCCTAGACCCTAGCTCTCTAAACCTCAAATAACAAAACAGCGTACACCCTTCTGGACCGGGAAAGGAACGAGGATGGCCACAAGGGTTCTCGTGTCTGGAAGTGGGATCTAGTCCCGAGTGAGCCAGTGCAGCTTCAGCTCGCTATGCGGTTGGGGCAGCAGCAGGGCAATCTGCGTGCTAGAGGGTCTTCATCGGGGTTGTCGTCTGAGCCAGGGATTCTGCCTGAGCTGCGTGACGTGGCATGGTTTTAACAAAGTGATGAGGGACCCGGGCTTTCAAATGGTGGAGCAAGGGTCGTTTGTCCTCTACTAAGTTCGGTACATTTATGGCGGGCACGTCTTTGAAGCTTTCTTAGCTCCGCTCAGAAAAGGCCGAAAGGAGGCGCTTTCCAAATACCCAAACCCCAATCCTTTGAGCAGTACACCCCAAATTGAAACTCTCTGCAACAACAAGAAGCCCCAATCCCAAGAGCTTAGTCCATCAATCCGAATCCTTGAGCTCTAATCCTGGCCCTACACCGTATGCTGTTAACTGCGATCTCTCAACTAGGACAGCCGCATTTATTTACGTAAGAGAGTATGAGTATAAGGCTAGGCGCGTTGGTATTTTTGCATCTAGGTTCAGCATTCCTTTGGGAACCAGATAGGGGCCATGGATTGAACGAGATAGGGTGCAGTCTCTTCTGCAATAAGAACCCAGTACATGTTCCAACATGGCGAACGAGATCAGGTGATTTTGTCAAGGTACAATACAAGATTAGATAAAAGACAAACGAGATGAGGGGCCGTGGATTTAAACTGCCGCATAAGGCCCAGGTAATAAATGAAAACCGAGTAGGGGAACCCCAATACAGACCCCAAATACTATGATCTTCATTATGGGGCCCTGAAAAGGTATCCCTCATTCTGGGAAACTCTCACGGACCATCGACTCGACTCGACCATAAAACGCCGAACACACCACAGCATAGCCGTTTTGCGCTGCGCTGAAGGTGGCAGAGTCATTCGGCCTCGTCTGCTGGCAGAAAAACGCCCGATATAAAAGCTGAACCTGAACCCTGCACAACAAGTACGAAGGCGATCTTGTCGACCTCCTGCTCACGCTTTAGATGTCTTGGCTTGCTTCAGTGCCTCAGGTCCTAGGGCTTTTGCACTGGGGGGCGGTCAGGAGTATTAATCCTGTTTGTTTCTGCCCCTGACGCAGCGGAAATTCTGAGCTGTACCGCAGCCGTCTGGCTGCGGCTCAGGATTGGAGTTCTTTTGATTCTCTCCATCCATCCCCTTACTCCACCTGTCTGTGGAATTCTGTTGCTCTGCCGTGTCATGGGTTGCTGGGCCTGGATTTCTGCCCACCCCATCTCGTGTGACTGTGGCGCTCCCCTATCCGGGGTCGAGCACACAGTCTGCTTTGTCTGTTAGGTTCTGTCTGCTTTGGACCAGAACCTCAGACTTTCTGCCACTCGTGAAAAAAGAAGCTGTCCGCTTGCAAGTTTCTTTAGTCTAGTAGGAACGGACTAGTCTGGGCAGTAAACTAACAATTACTGGTTCGTGGTTGCCCCGCGCATTGCCAAGGGTCCTTCGGCTTCTTCATTGTTGTTTGGATTTCCGTCTTTGGACTTGGGGCTTTGGCCGTCCTTTTTGTCTTCCGGCAATCCTTGCTCCTGCCTTTGGCTTTCCCTGCGCCTGCCACCGCGCCCCCTGGGTCCCCTAGTGGTTTAGCGGTTCATAGGCCATCCTCCCTTAGGCTTCGGGGATACCTGCATGAGCACTGATCCGGATCTTGCCGCCGCCATTGCTGAGGTCCAGGTTGCTCTGGAGCGATTCCGCTTGGCTCCAAAGGGTCGCAAAAGGGGAGAAGCTTCAGGCAGCGCTGGCCGACAGGTCGGGCGACTTTTTTTTGAGGTGACGCAGGCGGCCTTCCGCCGACTGAATCCGTCAGCTCCTTGCCCCAGCTTGTCGGGTCAGGTGTCGATGTGCCATTATTTAAAGCGCGTCGGGGCTTTGGGGGTTATCGAGATGTGGTGTTTGGGGCACATCGCCGATTGCCTTGTCCAGCACGTGAGGGGGCCCTTGACTATGGTAGCCCTGGATCAGAGCGTGATAGACCACAGCTGCTGAGACTTTGCATGGATCCTGACACTTTTGGAGGATCCACTTGTCCAGCTGTTAGGCCCTATACCTCGAACCCGAGGTCACGGGCATGTCGCCAGTAGTGTGCCATTCAGTATTTCAAAGAGATCGATTTCATTACGACCCGCCGGCTGGGGAGCCTGGGTCTGCCACGAAAGCCCTGCCGCCGCAACAGGGTGGAGAATCTAAACAGCAGACGCCCCCAAAACCGAAAAGGCATCCGCTCTTTGTCAGGAAACGAAAGGCCGAAGCTCCGGCTGCCAAGTGAAAGGTGACAGCTTGTTCATGGGCCGGCTTCTTTGCAACCTCGCCCGTGTCAGCCTCTTTTGCATTTTTTTCTTCGGTCCACCTTGCGCTTGCCCGGGCCTCCTCGGACTGTTCAGCCTTCTAAGGGTTCTGCTTCCAGGCTGTTCCCCCTGCCTGTTGTTCACCCTGGCGTCTTTGAGCGCTTTTCTTTGGAGATTGGATCGAGGGCCAGGAGGCGCGTCGTGCGCAGGCGCCTTCTTCACATTGTTTGCGTGGGGCTGAGTGTCCTTTATGCCAATTTCGTTCCGCAGCGCTTGGACCCTCTTGCTCAGTCGCGCACTGCTGCGCAGCGAAGCCTCGTTGCGAATGTGCGCAAACATTTGAAGGCTTTCGGTGCCCCTGTTGGGGCTTTCCGGCTTCCGGATGCTGGCCGCTAACCCCCAATCACTTGCGCGCCTCTCTGAGCTTTCCGACTTCCTTGCTTCAACGGCAGGCTTGGCCGGTGACATTTATGCCGACCACCCAGGCGTTTTGCTTGCCACTCGTAATGATGCCGCTCCCGCCTTGGAACTTATTGATCCTTGGATGTGTCTGGCCACTGTGGCCCCATGCGCTTATTGCAGCCCGCCAGCCTGACTTCCTCTGATTCCTACCTCCTGGCCAGCGCCGTCAATTGCTATAAGGGTCCCGATAAGGATAGGCAGGTTATAGACAGAATGGGTCGCACTTGGGCCGAGTCGCGTCTGTGCGGCCCTGGCCTGTTCATACCCATCGGTCCTCTTGTGGGCATGCTGGAGATTAATCCTGTGCGTCAGATCGCAAAGATTTTTATCACCAGCTGTCAGCGTCTCGTGCTAAGGCAGCCTCTAATGTTTTGGGGCCGGCTCTACCCGAGTGGTGGTCGAGAGCACAGCCGCCTTTGCCAACCTTGCCGATGAAGCCTAAAGCCTTGCCTGCACATCGCAGGAGCAGAGGCAAGACGTTCCGGTTGTGCCATCTCGTACCGCGCTGCAGTTTGAGGGGGACCATTACTTGGTCTGCTTCAAGGCCATTGCTCAGGGTGACCGCCTTGGGGTTGAGATTGCAAGGGGAGGCTCTCTGTGCAACGCGGCTTTACCAGGCGCACGGCCTCCTAGGCTCAGACGATAAAAGACTTCGTTGCCCAGCCTTTCGCGCAGATTGCCGGGGCAGAGGTTTGTTCCACCTTGTTATTTGTGAGATCGTTAGGGCTGGTGACTCTGGCGGCCTCTCCTGCTCAGAAGCACGCTGCCCTGCTTGTGTCCTTGGAGTTGGCCCGACTCACGCGCACGCCTGATGCTCTGCGCCTGTGGACTTCAATCCTACCCTCCGTAGGCCCTTGATGTCGGTCCTTGCCTCCGCTCACAGTGTTGTCAAGACCGCTCAGGTCGACTCCAAAAAACGCTTGCCCTCTGCTTTCTTCCCAGGCCTGCCGCGCAGGAGCTCACGCTTCTTGCCGTGCTCTCCCCGCTCGCTCATTGTGACCTTGCTGCTCCCATCGACCCGACTCTGTTTGCCTCCAATGCTTCTGAGTCGAAGGGGGGCTTCGTCGCAGCAGAGGTTGGCTGCGAGCTTACCAGGCCTCTCTGACGCACGGCTTCGAAGAAAGGAGGCTATAGTCGGCACCTTGCGAAGGAGGAGGCAAATCTTGCCAAGTTCGACGACCCTGAGGTTTTTGCCTCGAGGACCCTTATCCTGAGCGCCCTTTGGCCTGCGTTTTCGATTTCGTTGAAGTCTATAGTGGGTCTGGTAGGGTTGCTAGGGCTCTTGAGAATAGGGGCTTTGCGGTAGGGCCTTCCATTGACATTGGTGAGAGCCCCGGTTTTAATATGGAATGACTTCGTACCTTCGAATGGTTGATGCACCTCTTGCAGCACCGGAGGCTTTGCAGCTTCATGGTGGTCCCCCCACGCGCAAGTTTTAGCCCCGCCGCTCACCCGGCTTGCAGAAGCTATAAGCTTCCTCAGAGTTTCCGGCCCGCCGCGCCGAAGACTCTCCTTGGCAGGGTCTTGGCTCTTCGCTTTAGCTCTGCTGTTTGTGGCCTTGATAGTTGGCGCCGTTGGAGTTCTCGAACAACCTCACCTTTCCAAAATGGCGTGGATGGCAATGATGGCAGAATGGCGCCATCTTCTTCTGTTGGGTGTCCGTGAGTTTTGGACAGCGTGGAGTGCACATCGCAAAGAATTTGGGTTCTTCGCTGTCGGCATTAGTTTGTCGCCCCTCTGAAGGCTTGTACTCGTAACCATGGTTACATTCGTATAGAGGGGAGGTATACTCGCGAATCAGCCAAGTATATGGCTTTGCTGGGTGAAGCTCTTGCGCGTGAGTTTGCCCAAGCCTTGCGTCGCGACGCCCTTCCAGAGGCCTCATACCAACACACCGATCCTGAGAAAGATCGCTGCCTTGTGTCTTCTTGCTGGACTGTATAGTTCCTTCCACTCCGTGCCTGCCAGGCTGAATCCTGCAGACTGTCCCACAAGGGATTACCCGTTGCCACTCCTTTGTGCCTTTCTTGTCCAGCGACGAGGCCTACGCGGGCCTTCCAACTGGGCCCGCCTTTTCCCCCTCCTCATTCCACACGCGCTTCTCCACGTTTGGGAGGAATTTCCATCGTCGCCGGCTGGATTGTGACCAACCTTGGGCTTTCCTGGTGAGGGGCCGTTCCTGTTTTGCTTTAGCCTGGTTTTTGTTTGGGGTTGGACGTGGGGCGTTGTAGGATCCGTAGGCCCGAGCCATGGTACACTGCAGCAGGAACAGGTGCTTCAGGCTTCAAGAGGGCCGACCTGTTGAGACTGCTACCAGGATCAGGAGGGAGAAGCTTCTGGCTGACTTCGTTGCCTGGTTGTCTGGTTTCGACATAGGTTTTGATCTTGGCTAGCACGCACCTCCGCAACAAGTACTTGGTTCAGTATGGTCGTTGCCTGCTCGAATCTGGACGGCCTTATTCCCATTACAGCGAAGTCATAACTGCCATTGCTGCCAAGGAGCCCTTGCTCCGTGGGAGTCTAGAGCCGTTATGGGATCTTGCTTTCAGTTGGATGCGTGAAGAACCACATGTAAACCATGTGGCGATGCCCTGGCAGCTGCTCCTGGCCGCTATTGCAACTTCTTTGGTGTGGGGTTGGCCCCGTGTTGCTGCTGGCCTTCTGGCTTTAACGTGGGGTGGCCTCCTGCGAATAGGCGAGGCTTCTGCCGCAAGAAGATCGGATCTTCTCCTTCCTGGCGATGTTAAAGACACCTGCGACTACGCTTTGCTCTCAGTTGACGAACCGAAGACGAGGTATAAAGTTGCAAGACATCAGGCTGCGAAGATCGATCGGCCTGACCTCCTCCGAGTAGTTTCTTCGGCTTTTGGGTCCCTTGGTTTTTCTTAGAAACTGTGGCCACCATCGTCATCGACCTTCAGGAGCAGGTTCGATATGATCATGCAACGCCTTGATACAACGAAGTTGCCCTTCAACAAGGCCCGTAGGCTTGACTTAGGCTCGTTACGTGCTGGTGGCGCAACGTGGTTGCTGTCAGTAACAGAAGACTCAGAAGACGCAGAACTTGTGCGGAGACGAGGGCGGTGGTTGAGCCACCGAACGATGGAGATTTATATTCAAGAATTTTCCTCTATTCAGTTCATCCATCGTCTTCCTGAAGCCACGCAAGCAAAGCTGTATTCCTGGTTCAAGCTTTCGAGGATATTGTTGTGCGAGCTGAGAGTCTGGTTTTGCTTGGGACGCCGACAAGGGCTTGGTTTTCTCAATTCTCTGTGGGAAAGTGCGCTTGAGGCAATGGGTGGAACATGTTGGCGGAAGAGGATCTTTTCGTGCATGCCGCAACGGGACAGTAGCATACGCTGTGCAAGGAAAATGGAGGGGCGTGAGAGTTTGAGTACCTGCGCAATAGGTACGAAGGCGATCTTGTCGAGCACCCGCTCAAGCTTTACCCGCCCGCCACGCCCAATTTCCCACAGAGGATCGTTTCGTGCATGCCGCAATGGGACAGTCGCATACGTTGTGCAAGGAAAGTGGAGGCACGTGAGAGTTTGAGTAGCGAATCAATCCTTATATCTGAGCCCTGGACCCTAATCCGAACGAATCCTTGAACCCCGACCCTAAACCTAGATTTCCTAAATAAGCCCTAAACCCTTTACCTTGAAAGCTAACTTGAAATCACATTAAAGCTTTGACCCTAGTCCGATCCTGAACAACCCTTCTTTGAACACAAAACCCTAAATCGCGAACCTTAACCACGGACCGTATACCTTTAACCCATAACCTTAGACTTTAAACTATGAAACCTAACCCTAAACCCCGTAATTATGTAAACCTCACGCCTCTGAACCCTAGCCGTAACTGCCTTAAGCCCTAGTCCTATACAACCTGAGTCCACCACCCCCAATCCTTAAACTCCAAGAAAAAAGAACTTCAACCCTGAACTGTATTCTTTGAACCCCCAGCCCCTACTAGATCCCGAGCCCAAACAGCAACAGCCCTAAACCCTAACCCAAAAACTTTAGTCCATCACCCCCAATCCCTAAACCTTTGACCTTCGACCGTGAACCCTAACCCTAGACTGAATACCTTCGACCCTTGCCCTGAACCCAAAACACCCCAAAAACATCCCAGCTCAGGCCACTTTTCAGCGAAAATGTTCATGCAATTCTTCAGTAGAAAAATGGGCTCCACTTGAAAAACCCTGAAGCACTAAACCTTCACCTTGAAAACCCGAACTCCAACAACCCAAAATGTTAAACCTTAACCTTATACCGAGCACCCTACTCTTCTGTAGTCCCTTAACCACAGCAACAATCCGAGACCCTGACCAGACGCCCTGCACCTTAACCACAAAATCCCCAACCTTCAACCCGAATGAAAACCCTAGACTTAATCGTGTACGTTGAACCCTGAGTCCCAGATCCCAAACCTTGATACAGAACCGTATACCCGAAAGTCAGTAACTAGTTCAACCTAACGGTGACACACAAAAATCACCGCCCCTAAACCTTAATCCTCGAACCCTATCCTACCACTAACTGCAACGACTCCACCCTGAACCCTAAACCCTGAACCCCAACCACCTTGAACCGCCCACCTAATCCCTGACCCTGACCCTAACTGAACCCGCATGGTTCCGAATTCCTTAACTCGAAACCGTCCCAACCTTGAACCAACACCCAAACCGCGACAATCAAGCCACTTTTCGAGGAGAATATTCATGCAACCGTGTACCCTGATCTTCCAATTCCAAGCCCAAACCAACGCCATGCTTGGCAACCTTCATCCCTACACCCTTGAAAACAGCCCCTGAACACTGAACCCGAGCTTGAAACCGGTATACCGTATAACCCCAGGCTCTAAACCTTAGCACTGAACTTTAAAAGGTGTACCTGAACCGTTTACTCTGGACCCTGCCCCCTCACTACAACGAATCCAAACCCCAACCCTGGAGCCCTAATCCATCAACCCTACTCCCAACCCCGAGCCCTAAACCATATACTCTCTAAAGCATAGACCTTAAACTATGTACCCTGGACTAGACCGTAAACTCTGATTCTGCATCTATCCAAACCTGTGCTGCCCGGACATGATCCTGACCCCAAACGCAGAGCACTCGCAAATGATTTCGGCATTTTGGCTGAGACGTGTTGCAAATTCTCGTGTTTGAGAAGTCGCGAACGGCCCCAGCAGGAGTCACAAGTGACCCTCCTACTAGTAGGAGAACTCACAGATGGAAGTGGCCCCCCTCATATGTCCGCCTGTACTTGTAAAACGCTGCCATTCAATCGCGCAAAACAAAAAAGCGAACTCGGCTGGAAAGAAGAATTTACAGGCTTTGGAAACTGGAGTCAAAGCGAATTCCAGCAACTCACTCTCTGCCCATTGGGCCCTGTGTTTGAGAACGTGATTTGGACACCCTTATGCTTCTTGGCCTTTGGCATTTCTCTGGATGCAGGCCGAGACCACATCCTGGTCTGCCCAGATAGCGCTTGCCGTTGCTGAGACCGTACAGCAACAGCTGCGAGCTCACAGGTAATTGCCTGTAGTCAGCTGTAGCTGGGATTTCTTTGTCAGAAGTACACTTCCTGCCAAGAGATTCCCTATCTAGGGCAGGAGACCAAAAGCTTGCCGGTCAATCTGATGTGTCATGTTTGGTTCTGCTAAAGGCAGATGGCCGTGCTTTGATTGGCTTGCATCAGACATTGAAAGGAATGGTCCTCCGAAGGACAGCTGGTGGCGATGTGAGGCTTGCTTTTTCACTTCGAACACTCTGTGATGTCCTCGCATGGGCCAGAATGTTTCAAGTTTAAGTGAATTACAATAAAATCAAGATCCCTTGCAACAAGTTCATCGTGTGACATATGACGGCAATTTCAATGCATGCTGCTTGCTAGGAGTCTGACTTATCTGAGGAATCCCACTCCCTCTCAGTTTGGGCATTCTCAGTCGTCAGTTTTCGGATGTGTTCGCCTAATGTGGCGTTGGTACTTGCAACTTTGGCAACCCACTGGCAATGTGCAAAACAACACTGATGCATACATTCTTGATTACATCAATAAGTTCAAGCCTGCGTGCTGATCAGAAACTGAACGAGCTGGGTAACTTTGTTTCAAATCTTTCATGGGTGTAGTCTGCAAGTGCAAGCCATGGTTAGGCGTGTTTCCTGGTAGCTTCTCACGTGCTCTTCTTTGCTTCAGCCAACTGGTCGGGGCCTCAAGCAAGAGAGGTTGCGTGCCGTTGCAGCTCCCATGTGTGACGTTATGCAATTATGCAGGCTTGTCCTCATTCACTCAGGTTTTTTGCCAAGCTACTATATCGTGACTACGAGGTCCTTGTAAGTGTTGGAGAAACTCGGAAAGTTTGATTGGCTGCAGATTAATTAAGAGCTTATGCTCCTGGAGCTCATGTAGGTCAAACAGCGATACATCCAGATTCTTTTCGCCGTGGCACGAGCTCGCTTGATGGACATGCAGCGCAAGTACCAGCTCATACAGTGATGCAGCGCCCGTGTCATGTGCAGGCAACGTTTGCTGCATCTTCTTCCATGCCACTGGCTTGATGCCATATCGGGAAGTGCCAACAGTGGCTTTTGCAAGGAGTGATTGGAATTGCGTTTCAGGTTCGAGTTGATGTTGGCCACTGTGGCCGGGCTTCTGGACCCGGATGTCCGTGCCGTTGCCTGGAAGGTCGCTGTAGTTTCCTGCTCCGGCTACCTCTGCTAAGCAAAGCCAGAGGTCGATCACTGGACGCTCATTTGGCTTGCATATGTGGCCTTGCCTGCCTGTTTTGCTGCAGCCTCAGTCGGCCAGACATCGTTAACAGCTGCGGGTGTGGAGCCGCGAGGTTTGGACTTCTGTGAGATCCATTTGCTACGGCTCGCACCGGCTCGCTTGCAGCCTACAAAGACATGAGAATGTGTACAGTCAGACCCCTGCATTCTTCGTACTTCTTAAGAATGCAAGCTCATGGCAAGCTTGATCTTCAGTTGCCTCCGAGAGTTGCAGCCTAGATTCTGGCCACGAAATGCAACTTTTTACAGCTTTGCGCCTAGATGTAGAAGCATAGAAATACACTTCCGCGCAGAGAGCCTTTGATCAATCCTCGCAGAATCAACGAATATGATGTGTCTTAAATGCTCTCTCGCTCTTTCTTTCATTTTGTCTGATGTTCTCTTCTCCCTCTTCCCTTCCTCACTGGCTTGTGCTTCCTCAGGCCTTTGCGGCTCTGTAGCATGGCTGAGGCTACTGCACCGGAGCTCTCATCTGCAAGTACTGGTGGGGTCTTTGTATTTGCTGAATGGCTGCGCCTTTTGGGTGCCTGACAGCAGCTGCCCCTCTCCATAAACCCATGTGCTGCGCAATGCACCAATGCAAGATAAGTCCGTGCGTGCAAGTGGATAATCTCTCCTTCTGCTCCCGTACTGCAGGTTGCCAGGATGTTTTAGACCTGATGCTTAGAGTGCCTCGAGCAAGCAGCATCTTCTCGTATGCTCCTGTGCAATCAGCAACGTCCCAGAGCAGCGCGGCCCCAGCTTGGGCAAAGCAACGAGTGGGTGCACGTGCTTTGCTGGCTTGTCATGCTTATCGGGGACCTCAGCCCGGAGAGTTGCTGCCTTGTGGACTTGGGCAGAAGTCGGGAGTGATGAGAACATGCCGCAGACACAAACTAGGCCGTGGGCCTTGAGGGCCCGCTGCGGTTCTGCGTTCCCCCTTGACTGCTTAGCTTGCTGGGACCCCAGGGGAGCGCCAGGTGGTGTGCACAGGTATTAAGTTGTATGCCTTGTTTCACTCTGCTCCTTACGGATTTGTTTCTTCGCCTCCGGCATATGCCTCCCGCGTCTGTTGCAAGCCTCATTTCTTTCTTGAGCGTCCGTATGGAAACTGTACCGAGCTGAACACCAGTTTCTTGGTGCAGTCCCTCTGCCCATCCACCGCATGCGGTAGTATCCCCACGGGCTGCCTTTCCCGAGCTTGGGCATTTGAGGAAGCAGCTGACCCATGAGGAGAGTGAGGCATTCTGCAGACAGTTAGACTTTCAATTGCGAGAGATGAGGTCAATTTGCAGGCCAATCACCAACTCGTAGGCGTTTCCAGCCCAAATGGATTGCGCCCATCGTTAGGGCCTAGCTGGTCCGTATGGCCCGTGGACCAATCATGAACTCTCAGGTGGATTTGACGGCCGCTGGCACTCTGACGCAGTAAGAGCTGAAGGCAGCCACGGGGAGGCTGCTTTCAGGACCATCTCCATTCATGGGCTTTAACCCCAGCGCAACACACAGAGAAAGACGCTCCTGGCTGGCGTTTGGTATATGTGCGGTGATGACGAAGACTGCTCACATACTCATGACACTGCGGGCTGCGCATATGGGCTCCTGTCGCGGCATGGCCGGTCCTGGAGTGCCTCTACCCATGAACTGGTGCCAGTCCACTGTTCATTGTCTCGCATTTGGCTGGAGTCCCTGGTGCTCCGGGGTCGTACAGCTTTACCCGCGCTGGAAAGGGCGGGTTGGGGTCGAGGCCAGTGTCAGTTCAGGTGCGGAACGGGATGGGTGTGACTTGGAGAGCCCTGTGGCGTGGGCGGATCGCACAAAACAAGTCGCTGGCGAACCTCCACTCAGGCTGGCAGTATAAACATGTATAAGCAGTCTGGGTAGCGCGTGTCGCTGGACGAGTCAGGTGTCAGGGAAAGTTTTTGCGGATCATGTTCTTTGATGGCTGCTGTCCCATTCTTTCCAGCCTGAAAACTTAGCGCAGAATCAATTGACCTCTCTGAGCCGCAAGCAGCATGCAGGAGGCAGCAGCGGATGTGCTTGCAACACAACGCATGCGCGAGTCCATTTCCTGCCAGTATTGAAAAACAAGGAACGACACCTAGACACAAGACCTTGTGTACCCGAAAACATGCCAGCACAAAGTCCAGAAGGGTCAGCCTCTCGTCTGCGCAAAAAAAAAGCCTTGCCCTGAAGGAAGGGGGCAAGTCTCACAGGCAGATCGGGGCCGATTCCAACAAGCATGAAGGGGCAACGCTGCGAACGCCTAAAGCTATGGGTGCGTGTCCTCCCAGCACACATTCGTCGTGGCAGACGGCAATGCAATCGTCCCTTGGAAGATTTGATCTCACGCGTGTCGCGGTCTAGCGGCAGCAGCTGTGTGGGTGAGACAAAATGATGTCATCGTGTCGTTGCAACAAGAAATTCCAGGCGGGCAGCGCTGTCAAGTATTGAACTATCCTTGGTATGAGAACCGAAATATTAGAAGAGTATTAGAAGCAAGAGCAGTTTCACCGAGGCTTTTGCTTCTGCAGTTCTGTCGTTGCCTCCTTTTTGGTTACTTGGCAGACCAGTCGTCCATGTGTTTTCATGTCTGTCTAATCATCACTTCGGTCCCAAGAGACGGCACGGCTCCGCCAAGGTATGCGATTTACATCTCAGGCCGGTGTCGACCTCAGGAGTGGTGCAAATTTCTTGTTTTGACGCGTCAGCCTCCATTCAGACCCAGGTTGATTCACATCGATGCTGCTTGATTCTGAGTTGTCTCTGGATGGCTATAGATAAAAAGGGTGGGCCAGCAGCCCTAACCCTTTCATGTGCACATTAGAGATGGCTCTTTTGAGTCGAGGGTCAACAACAACTGATGACTTGTGGTGCAGTGCAGGCCTCTCAATCCTTAATGCCTGTCAATATCAGATATTGTGCCTGCCGTGTGTAATTCACAGCGGACTTGGGAGTACAGCTGCCGTAAAGCGTTGCAAAAAGAAAAAAAATGCAAAACGTGTGCTGCCTAGGTCAACTTTTCAGCGGATTTGCTGATGGCCCGTAATTCCGGCTTGATGTTCAAGTTTCTGTATGTTGGTGACGCTCTCTGCATTTCCTCTGCGCTGAAAGAAAGCTTGTGTGTTGCTTCTTCGCGGCTGTGCTGATCATTGTGCTTCTTTCTGCAGCTTGCAAATAACAGGGCCACGAGGATGCTTTCACGGGCCATTTCTGTTTCTTGGCCAGGCATTGGAGTGTTGGGAGTCACCGTGGTGGCCACGTTGAGTGGCTTTGGAGCAGCTCAGCTTTGAATTGGTGTCAGATTCCAATGATTAAACGCAGTATTGAATCAGGCTGTGAACTTTCCCTTCCAGAGCATGCACTCATTTCTTCGCCCTGTCACGCAACAGCAGGCACCCTCCGGAAAGTTTCATTTATGGTGGCTTTGAATCTTTAACGGCACCAGGTGGCAGATGTGGAGCAGCGTTTGTTGAGGACTGCCAGGATGCAAGCAAGTACTCATGTGATATCAACCAGGCGCAGGAGGCTTATGCTGTGACAGATGCTTCAGGTAGCCAGAAGCACATAAGCCCAGCTTAGTTGTTGGTTTTAGTTGGTGGACTCCTCCGGCCGAAGGACAATGAGGCTGATTTCAGCGAGGAAGCGCCAGGAGTTGGCGTTAAAGCAGGACATTGGCCGTGTGGATTCAGTCTTTCATAGTTTTCGAGATGCGGAAGGAGGAAAGCCGACAAAGTGCCAGGGAGGAGCCGCTTTCCATCGTTGGCAGAGCAAAGGCCTCGTTTGGCCTCAAGAGAATCTCAAGAGCTCTTCTTCACGTCAGTTTGGGAAACAAGCTCATTCAAAACGGATCATTTTGAATCAAGCTGATTGCAGCAGTTTTGTTATGTTTTGTCGAAGTGAAGTCTGATGTAGGGATGGCGTCAGCCGCCTAGGCCAGTCTCAGCAAGCAGCTGAGGTTGCCCAGTTTGTACAGAGACCTCTTCTGTCACTGGAGGCCACTTTCATTGCTTTAACCTACAACAGGATACCGTCATCTTCTACATTTGGGTGCCTGAGGCCTTGGGTGTAAGTGTGCGTGGAGGCCCTCAAAAGCTCTACAGCCCAAGCCATTCAAAAAACCTTGAAGCCACTGGCAGGTACATCAGCAACAAGGAAGCAGCTGTTTACCGAAATTCAGGCCTGCCGCGAGCTTGGCCCCGACAAGTCCGAAGTTGGGTGGATGCCAGCCTCAGGCGCTGGAGGCCTTCAGCCGTGAGTTGTTCGTGGAGCTGGATGAGCTCATCCAGGAGATGTGCAGTTCAAAAGTTAGACAGGCGTTTGCAGAACTGAGCGAACTTCTTGGTGGAGTGGCAAGGCTCGTCTGTGTGAGCTGAAGGCCCGCACTGTGCTTGGTCGCGCCGCAGCGCCAGCCGTGTTTCATTTTCCCATGGACAGTGGTATGCAAGTTGAATGGGACTAGTCAGTCAGGCCATGAACGTGCTTGGACGGTGCTGTTCCGCTGTATGCCCCTCGCACGCATGTTAGAAATTCTACGAGTAGAAGCTGATAGAAAGAACCATAGCCAGCAGCAAGGTGTCTACAAGATCTTGATGCCGGGGACTCGAGGCAGTTCCTGGCCAGAGTAGACAGGCAGTCGCAAGTACCTGAGGTCTTCCGTAAATTTGTTGCTGAGGCCGGGTGAAAACTTGTGAACGAACTGAGATGCACAATATTAGTAACAATGGATATGATAATATCAAAAGTGATAGTAATTAGGAATAACAAGTAACAGTAAGAATAGATAATACTAGTATCAAGAGCCGTGCAGACATGTCCCAAAGCCATGCTAGGCGTGGTAGCGCGCAGGCAGAGGATCCGGCAACCAGGCGGGACAGCGGGCAAATGCTGAGGAACTTTTGGTGGTACGTCAGTTTAAACAGGTTGCTGACCATACTTCTCTTAAACCTGCGCGCTGGCCTCCAAGAAATTGCTAGTTTCACGGGAATGCTTGACCTGCCCCTCCATTTCAGCCACACGGGAAGCAACATGACCTGCAACGTGTCTTGTCCGAGGTTCCTGTGGACGTCTCGTATTGGGCGCCTATGTTGTCCTTGATCTTTGCTGCACCGGCTTTCTTGAGGAGGATGCGCATGGAGGGAACCGGAGCGGATAAGAATGACATTAGTCGGCCTTCAGGGACTAGAATAGAATATTCCTTGGCTACATCAACATCAAGGTCCTGGCTTCATCACGGGACCGTATACTGAGAGAAGGAAATGGCTAGACTCAAAAGAAGGTTGCAGACCTGACTTGTGCAGAGTGCAGTCCAGGCCACAGGGCAATTGAGACTAAGAGCCACATGTCTGCATTCTCCATGGTACCAATTGGTCTTGCTGTATAATGACCCTTCCTTGTCATTGGCAGACTCATCCGGAAGCTGACCTGGGAGAGGTCTGTTGCAGCACAGTCAATGGCTGCAACTCAGCTAATCTAGGGAACCGAACAAGATCCAAAATTTCAAAGTGACGAAGATTACATGTGCCAGCTTTGAGTCGACTCTGCGTGCGCTCGTTCCGCAGCTCTTTATACACGGGACTATGGGTCCAAAGCAGCTCTCATCTTGCTGTCATCCAGGTGTCAATCCATGTCTGTCTGTTGAGCTCCTCATGAGAAAGAAGTGTTTTAGACGTGTTTTAGGGCTGTTTTTTGCAGTGTTAGACAAGGTTGGACATTCAGCTCCCTCTGGCTATCCATGGACTTTGACCGGCTGCAAGAATAAAAAAGCACCGTTTGTTTGCACGGTGCCCATAGGGTTGGGCGGTGGGTAGGATTTTGACGTCCACGCCTCATGCCTAAAGCAGGCTGGATCTGAAATGCAGCCATGTCGCATCCTTGCCAGCAATGGCAACAGTTGTGGATTGCGGAGCTCACAGCTTCAAAGCCGGCCATTGCATGGAGGGCAAACCTGGTATAATCAAGAGCTGTCCAGTCAGTTTCGAGGAAAGCGTTTGCGATCATCGATTTTGGCATTCGTTGCTCGGGCACAGATCTCAAGACTTGGTCGTTTCGCTGCCCATTTGGACCTGCCGAAAAACAAAGGAAAACATTTGCCAGCTTTTATTTGAACACTTAGCAGCGAAATCCCTGTGCATGGTTAGCTGTGCATTCTCAGTGGCCCTTGCGGCTGGGAGCTCAACTGCATTGGTCGTAGACATCGGTGCTTCAGGAACCAGCGTCACACCAGTGGAAGAGGGATATCCCTTGACAGAATGTGTTGTTCATGGACCACTTGGAGGAAATATGCTGGACGAGGCCATGTCTTATTTTTTGCAAGATGCTGGTGTGGCTTTACCTGAAGGCTTGACCTGGGTCGAGGCTGGCAGAGCCGCGAAAGAAGCGGTGGCCTGGGTCGCACAAGACTTCACCCTAGAACTGCAGCATCTGAAGCAGACGGATACAGTGAAGCAACCGCCAAAACTGCAGACCTGTGATTTGGTGGGGCCAGGAGGCAAGCGCTGCATTTTTCAGGCTAATCGAGGAGAGGGCTTCAGGTGCGCAGAGCTACTTTTTGAGCCCGCCAGACTTGGAAATATTCCTTGCAGCGACTCTCCATTACAGACGTTGCCTGAGATGGTGCTGGCCAGCTTGCGCCTCCAGAGCAACATCAATGTGCGTGGCCAGCTTCTTCAAAATGTTGTCCTCGTGGGAGGTACTTCGCAATTGCCAGGTATACAGGAGCGGTTGGCCGCAGAAATCCGGTGCCCGAGCTCGCGAAAGATGTAGTTGTCCTTGGAGTCCTTCGTTTGATAGCCAGCCTTCTGACGTATGCTTGTCATGTTGGGTTGACACCTTTCCACCTTGGGGTGAAAGATGGCCTCACTTCAAATGCTTCCTCCGAGGCGCTGCAGTCGTTGGGTGGCGCCTGGGCAAAGTCCTGACATAGTCCAGGCCTGTTAGTTTTGTGAAAGCTCTCTTCTTCGCTCTTCACGACCGCTGCTCCAGAAGGTTCATGTGCAGCACGGGGCCCTTCAAGCAGCGACCATAGTTTAGCTATGATGCGGAGCGGCCAGCGCTGTAGAGATGGCAATTTGGCATAGATGCACATGGCAAACAAGTCACAGTCTGCAAGGCGTGGACTGGTGGATCGCTGCTGGCACAGCCGCTCTGCGAGAAATAGAGTTGCATGCGCGTGCCTGGCACCCAACCCCAAATGCTCAGATGCGATGTGATCAAAGACTTGGTCATCACCAGAGATACCTATCAACGTGGGCTGCTTGTATCTCTCGTCTCATCCAAGCTTGATGTCTTCTGAGCTGCTTTCCATCAGGCTCCGGCCCAGAGGCGGATGCAGACTCAGCTTTTGCAGGTCCGAAATCCGAAGCACCGCCTGCCAACTGGAAGTAAGGTCCACGCGCTTTTCATCTGAGGACGCCCACTGCAGAAAGTTTACGCCTTTCCATCGCTACCTAGTGCGCGTGCCTAAATTCTGGCACGGCGCAAAATCTGTGGTGCTGCCAACAGACATTGACGCTGCATATGCAAAAGCAAAGTAGATGGCAGAGCCATCATTTCATTAGTGTGACTTGTCAAACAGCAATTTTTGCATGCGCCAGGTAGGGTACCTGGCGTTTGCAAACACTCGTCAATTCATACAGCGACTCCTTGCAATCTTTCGCATGGCAAGAATCCTAATGTTTGCTCAGCAGAGTATACACAAAACTTAAGGACAAGCATTGAAACTCAGGTGTCTACGTCCGTGACATCAAACTCGCTTGCCTTGTTGCTGTCTGAGGCAGGAGCGCATCTTGCAAAACATCAGGTGTGTGTTATACATGACATCCAGGTCATGGCAATGTACTTCGCAGCGTGCGTCATCCTTACCCTCCGGTGAGATTCTGAGCAGAGTAGGGCATGACAAATAGAGTCGATCAGAAAGTTCATCAGGTTTGTCCCTAAGCGTGATCGCGCGGATTTGCTGATGATGGTTGGTGAAGTCTGGAGCCCAGTCGGAATCGTCACTGTTGGTTTCATGTGCGTGAGGGGCAGCGTGAGCAGCAGGTGGATCTGTCGTATGTCCACCTTCACTTTGACTACGTGCGCGCCCTTGTAAACGTGTGGCCTTGCACACTGGTAGTTGAATTGTCCTGGAGCAGCAGGTCTTTCTGTTGTCGTCCCTCTGCTCTTTGGCAGTGTTCGGTCTCAGCTACTGGCTGAAGCCCGGCTGCAGATTTGACAGATTTTGACCGCCTTCTTCAGTGTCTTCGCTTGGTCGCATGGGGCGTATTATTTTGGTTAGCTAAGGAAAGGACCGGCTGCAGACTCGCCGCATGCAGATTAAAAAGAAGCTACAGGTGTGTTCCAGTGGCACCCCGCCATCGGTGCCACAGCTTCCAGGATCAGCTTCCAGAGCCTCCTACTATGGCTTGCATATTAGGCAAGGTGAGCGTAAGAAGAGCACCAGCCCTAAAGGGATTGATTTGCAAAGCACATGAGTCTAAGAGGGTGGCCTCGAGCCCGTCGAATAGATTTTCGAGCAAATGCCTTTTCTCAATGTACCCAGGGTAAGGGCAGAGATGAGGGACAAGGGGGGCTTTTGCGTATGCGTGCAACTGGTTCGGCGGCTCCCGCTCTAGCCATCCAATTATGTTTCAATTCGCGTTTTACGACGCCTCCTGGTGCCTGCCAGATCGGAATCTTTTGACCGCTCGCTTGTTTGGCCTTGGCGCGATCTTCATGGCTTTTGTTGCGTTGAGCCATTTCTTCAGCACTCACAGCGTTGGCGCACATGGGTCCAAAACCCTACCCTTGGTCGCCATCTATGAAACCACCCCTATGATAGGCCCGGCTATGTCCTACAGACCCCAAAGTACTATGAGGAACCCCGTCCCTAAGAAGACCCTATCCCTGTTCTGAAGATAAGCCCTGCTATCTGAAAAAGGGACACTGTTCCAAAGAAAGGCCCTGAAGAAGCCCTGTTCTTCGGAAGTCCTTTTGGGCTCAGCACATGCCAGACCACACCTCTCCTCGTGCTTGGGCAGCCGGCGAGGGATCACAGGAAGCTTCGAGTGAAATTGGGTTGACTGAATTCACACTGGTCTAAAATCTAAGGTTTAAAGACAATTCATTCGAACCCTTCGTCACTGGCCACCTTCGGCGGTTCTAAGCCACTGCAACGATTGTCTCTGCCCTTTACGCTGCTCTAGAATCCTACGTTCATAAAGCAAGGCGGAACCGCTCTCATGAAGGCAACATCTGAGTACAGAACTGTCCATCACCTTCGTCAGACAATCCGCTAGCATAGCTCTACTGTGCACCCACCGCATTTGGCAGTTTTCACGAAGCCGCTCCCAGAGAAGCAGACACTCTAATTGAGCCCTCAATTCAGCACAAGCCGGTACGGCCGTCTTCGTAGAGACATCAAAAGCGCTCTTAAAGGCAGTAACAAGGGAGGTGCGAGGTGCCTGCGTCGAGTACTCCTGCGGGGAAGCCAAATTCACAGCTGGATTCTTAAGCCATTCCCAAATATTCCCGAAATGACCTGATCCATGACATTCTGCCCATCGAGCCACACAGCGACCTCTGCACTCAAGGTACTGCGAACAACTGTGGCAATCTTCTTGCTGGACCAGGCTACAGGGGAAATGACCGCTTGTTGATTTGCCAACATCCTCCAATCAATGACCATAACCAACGTACCCTGATACGAATTGCTATCTCTGGACGTGGCAAGACAAGCATCCGAAAGCGCGCAGAAAGTTACATGGGCCTCATTTAGCGGGGCGACCATTAGGGCGACTGGATTCGGTTTGGCCTCAGAGAACCTTGTTGAACTCCAATAAATGAAAGATCTCCCTCTTGACGATACGTACCTGTAAATATCCTGCCTTGGCCGCTATATCCAGTCGCGTATATATGGCTGCATACTGGAATTTTCCATTGAATCGTCGGAATTCTTTCTTTTGCACGAAAAGGGGCTATAGGAAATGGGCGGCGGCCGGAAAATATTTCTCTGGAATAATAACTTCCGCATCATCATACGATACAGAATTGAAACCCTTCCGCGAAACTGCTCTTTTATCCCGGACGACAGAAGGCGGAAAAATTAAATCTTAAATAGATATTGAATGAATCTAATTCTTCAAAATAATTCCTGAATATAATATCATTCATATAAAGACCCATCTAATTTATTGAGAATTTCTCCGACAATTCTTAGAATAAATATTTTCTTTATAATATTTTCTATATAGATTGAATCGGAAAGATAAATAGATTTGAGATCTTTTTTTCTATCGATCTCATTTCTAGAAAAATGATGAATATTAAAGAAATATTTTGAATCGCTTTCTACGATTGAAAATTATTTTAATATTGGAATTATTTATACATATATTCTCAAGGTTTTCTGGATATCCTATTTAGGAAAAAGAAAAGACGATGAATAATTGGGATAATACTAAATTGATTACGGATTTCTCTCATAAATTTATTTCAAAATCGAAAATATTTCATTTTAATCTTAAAAAGAAGAACATATTTTTTCTTTTTCAAGATGTTGCTCCGAATATGAATACGATTTTGAAGCGAATAAGAATATATCTTGGATATCTATATATTAGAAGAATATATAGATATATAGACGATAATATCTTAAATAACTCGATTCTCTTAGGAATAATATTAGATTAATATGAATTGCCGATTATATATTTATAGGAAATCTACATTTCTTAAATTATATTTCTATTAAATATTATATTTCTATCAAATATATTTTCTATCTATAAATATAATATTCGAAGATTTAAATATGATAAAATATTCTATATCTAGATATAGAAAATTCTAGATATTTCGTAATTGAATAGAATAATCTATTACATCCAAAATTTATTGATTATAATATTTTTCAATCTCTCTATATAAGAAATGATATTTTTATTAATTCAAATTTTATTACATAAAGGTCTATTTAATTATTTATAATTCAAATTATAATGAATAAAAGATTACATTTCAAATTTTTAATTCAATAGAAAATCATTTCTTATAATATAATATATACGAATTGGAAAAATTATATAGATATATTATTCTTATTGAGGTATAATATTTTGATCAATATTTTAGAAAGTATAATTAGGGAGAATTTAAATTTATGATTATTTAATTTTGAATTAAATTATCAAGTATTCTTCATTAGAATATTTTTTAAATTAATATATGAAAACCTTATATTTGAATAAGAATTTCGAATTTGAAATTATTTCAATTAATTATATATTAATATTATTCATATCTTTCTTAGATAGATATGATGATTTTCATTTATAGATATATCTATAATAAAAGATCTTTAGAAATAAGATAATTTATATATTTTATTTTATTATAATTATAATTCGGAAAAAATAATAGAATCGTTTTATGATATTTTTATTCAATATATACTATCATAAATAATATGAATAGAAATAAAATTTCTGAGATAATAATAATAATTCGATTATGAATATATTATAATTATATATTTTGAGGTTGCTCGCCTTTGCTCCTAGCAGGGGATCTGCTTCTAAGCCCTTGTTGCCGAAGCCTCAGGCGTTTGGTCGCGGGAAGCTGGATATATATTGTTTCTCATCTCTGAAGGCATTCTGAATTTGGGAGATATATATTATTTCTCATCTCTGAAGGCGTTCTGAATTTGAAATATCTGGCAATACGGCGGCAGGATACTATAATCTCCTATCCTCGTCTCCGATATTTTACGGGTCTCCGCTTGGGCTAATGAAGTGCATTGCTGCTTCCCTGGGCTGTGATTCGATCTCCTTCCGAATTGTATAATATAGGGGCTCTTACACTGGGACTGCTTTAGTGTCTTTTCGCGTATAACTCTATCCTTCAATGATTGGAATTTTACAGGAGGTTAGAACGCAGCTTAGAACGTAGGCGTCAAGAATGCTACCGACTTTTTCTCCAGGGTTGAATGAAGGTTGGCGATTCTAAGGAAAAAATTCGATCTTATCGCCTTATTTTCTTCCTTGGAAATGCTGATCTCATCAATTCCTATTTTAGAGTTGCTTTCGATTGATTTTCTCAAAATAATGAAAAGATTTAGATTTAATAATCTATCTATAAATATGATAGAAAATATATAATTCTTTCTTATAAATAGATTTTTCTTATAATTCTTTTCATCAGAAATATAATCAAAATAGATTATATATTATTTATCTATTTATAAAAATTATCAAAGAAAATAAAGAATCAGAAATAAAGAATTCGAATAAATAAATGATTCTAGAATTGGTCTACGACTTCCAATAATGCCAGATATTGATTTGATAAAATCCATCGCAAGAAATCCGACAAATTATCAATATCTTGAAATCGTATATATCATAGATTTTGAAAGATTTTAAATCTCCGCCTCGGATCTTCATATTCCGCCGAAACTCTGCGCATATAACCAAAAAGAAAAAATATTTTGGGATTCTGACTTGCAAAATATTAGATTTCGTCATCATCTGGCAAAAAAAGAATCAATACATATTTTCAATATCATTTTATAAATCCATTGAAAGAATTTTCTTTGAGAAGAATTATATATATTGGATATATCTAAATTATATTTATTCATGAATTCATTTTTTTTTCCGGATCAAATATTTTTTTTTTTGGTTCAAAAATTTAATATTCAATGATTTTCTTGATCAAAATATCATGATTTTTTTCAAAAAGATTTAAATCAGAAATTATATGAATAGTTTCCAAAATTTCATTAAAAAAATACGAAATTTTATTGATGAATATATATATATATATTTATATAATTCGAAATCTTGGGTTTTGTTCCCAGACGCGCGCGCGACCCTCGTATCCAATCCGGCCTTTCCGTCTCATTTATCTTCCGTAGACTATCTGCGCGACGGCTCTTGGGAGCTCCTCCAAATATGAGCGACCTATAAATTCTAACTGATGCAAATACTCCGTCTCGAATCTACGCGCTCTTCTGACAATCGCGCCGATAATCAAAGAGAGATAAATCATGCAGAATATATGAGCTTTTACGTGCGATAACCAATATAAAGATTTTAGATCTCTGCCCCGTGTCTACCTCAAATTCCCGCGCAAACAACTAAAAATAGAGAAAATTCCGAATCATCCATATTAATTCTAAAAGATTTTAATTTTCCTTCTCAAATTTATATAGAT